CAGTAAATTTACAATAGATGATATGGGAAAAAGTAATTACTTAGTATGCCACTTTTTTACTCAGATCTAGAACATACACTGCCAAAGTATGCCCGCACATCTCCCCCGAAGTTTGAATTACTAACACTAATACAAAACTAATATCGCTTAATAGGATAGCTTTCATTGTGTAATTCCCTTGAGATGCAGCATTGCGAAAAAAGGCATGTGGTTTACGGAATCTTGCTGCCCCCCCTCCCAGTTCCCGTGGTTTTGTCTCTTATTGCACGGTCTTTGCTTCCGCTGGAGATATCAACATTGACAGGGGAGCGACCGGTGCAGTCCACCAATTCAAGCCCCATCAAAAAGATGTAAAATTAGCATTGTTCAGGGGTCACTAAAATGCAAGCCAACATCCCTGTGGTTTCTCAAACAAAAATTAAGCAGTTGTTTTTCAATTTCTTCTGAATTTTTTGTGAGTTTACCGGTTACATGTTTAAGTTAATTATTCACACGAACCATAATTACCCCTGAAAAGTGATAATTCTGAAGTCCGTTGCCGTTTTTCAAGTGGTATCCCTCTACTTTCTCCGGTTCTTGGAACCACTTTTCAACCGTATTTTTAAAAATACATTCAACCCTCAGAGGTACGCCTAAAGAATCACGGAGTTGATCCTGGCAAATATTTACAAAGTCTCACCATTTTTGGCCAATTTGAGGGTCAAACAATCTCCTTTTTTTCAAAAGAAACTGTAGGGGGCACTTTGCATGCTAATGAGTTGGATGGACAGAGATTGTCACTTGAATTTGTAGACTGCACCCCCGAGGGACCTGGCGGGGTATGCTTGCTGTGTCGTGTCCCACCCATTTTGGCTGAGACAGTGGTCTACTACACCCACATTGTACTACATGTATGTACTGTAGCTCAGATCCGATCTGAAGATAGTGCGCCCTCTATAGTCTTACTCGTTATTCAGTCCAGTGGACAGAGGGGCTGACCTCAAAATGACAAGCACGGGCACAGCTTTTGAGGTTCTTTTCACCCCAATGATTCTTTCCCCCTTGTCTCATCGTGCAAGTAGGCGTATACACAAAGCACTATGCCCAATAGACCAATTGTACCCGCTAAGTCACGTGGCCTATAGTGGGTGTTAAATCAACAAACAATTGGCGTCCACCAAAAGCAACTTGTTTCACAAGTATCATTACCAACAACAAAGCCGACGGTGGGTAGGCTACCGTTCTCAGACTACTGATGTGCTAGGTACTATACCATAACTCGGCTGTTTTGTTTGTAAACAACACTCAAAACACACATTGCTATGGGGTAAACACCCACTATAGGAGACGTGGTTTAGCGGGCGCAATCGGTCTATTGCGTGTGAATGACATCAGTTGACCCCTGGAACTAAGAATTCACCAAGGGCATTGGATCCCCAGACGAGCAAAGCGATCCATGACACTACAGTTGTATTGAACAACTTGTAAAAAAAAACTGCAACTTCACAAAACATTTACTCTCTCACCAAATTAAGTACATACCATATCTGTGATGAATTTGTTTTAAAATACTGAAACTAGAAGGAGAGAGTTGTGGAAACAAGATGGCTAAAAACCTGAGAGAAGCAAGTTTATCTTCATTGAAGGATGGTCTGACTGTGACATAATTCCCCTGACAAAGGAACACTGCTATTTTAATTGAACACAACTGACTCTACCGTAGAAATAGTCGATATTTGAGTCAGTGCTCCAACGACCGCTTATTTGGTAGCCACACCAACGGTTAACTACATTGATAACCATAACCTACCCGATCTATTGAATTACCCCCCCCCCCCGCTTTCAAATTTCCGATGGCCGGGCAAGTCATCCCAGCCCCTTGATTACCGGCACAAATTGCTAACGCCACTGCCTACAAGACTCCGTAGAACTGGATCACGAATCCGTTGGGCTAACTTGTCAAATTAAGTGACTGAAGAAATTTTGCTTGCACTAGTATTTCTTTGATAATACACCTTATGCCAATTTCATGGAATGCGGGTGGCCATATGAATAGAGGGCGCTATTTACATTTAACAGCGAGAAAGTTCCTTTGTTGGTTTACTTTCTGTGCCAATGTAGTATTCGCAGCAAAGGCATCGACGTACAGTGTGTATGCGTGGGAGGGATGGGGTGAGGTTTCACATGCCTCCAACGTGATATAAAGAGAAAATGTTAGTGAACACCTCTAGGTTTTATTTTGGATTTTCAACGATGGACTGCACCTGGGGAAAAAAGTTTTTATTACACACTAGTTTGGGATATTTTTTATTACACAGTACTCAGTAGTGTGGGGATGTGCCATGTATTTTTTGAATGGAAAAGTCGTATGAATGCAAATTTTGAGAGGAGACTAGTAAAATCACGCCACGTGGAAGCGCAGCTTCCCTTTTAAAAAGGTTGAAACGTTGGGCTTGGCTTTCCTTTGGAAAAACCTCTTAAAGTCACGATTGTTTTCAATGTCAACACAGAGCTCTCAAAACCCACCGACCTAATGTATAATTTCACACATGTACTTTCGGTACACGCTTCTAGGGCCTTGGCGAACCTCTGCCGTGGAACCATAATCCATCGTCAGCCTACAACTATGCAGTTATAAACTATCTAACAGCAAAAGGCTAAAGTATTAAACACAGGCTGGTATCAAGACTATTAACACAACAAGCCCTTTTATTATTTAGAAATACCACGATATCTTGTACAAACGTGACCTTGTAAGTTGTATTATTCACACGCACAATAGTTTTTCACCCGCTCCGGAATGCTGTGTTAACATCAGAGATGGATAGATCAAGTACACTGCACTGTATATTGGCTTTAACATAATACAGTCGTATATAGTCTACGCAGAAACGGGTCCACATCCCCGTTAAGTGATACCGTGTGAGTTCATACAAGATAATAGTTAATACAGTCGAGTTGTGCATATACCAGCAACTTTTTTCAGTGTACCCTCCTATTTACTGACGAGCCACAAAATATTATTAAATCTATTAAAATTTATAACGACGCACCGGAAATGTCTACTGCAAAGGAACTCCTTATTTGATTAATTTAAGTACCATGTAACAGGTGACATATGTATACCTAATGGTAAAAGGAACACACAATCAAAAATGCAACCGAGTAATAAAGAAAATCCATCAAGAGTTTCAATAAATACTGGTCAGCATGACAAAATGGCAATGATTTCACCCTAGAATTAACTACACAGTTGGGTTGAATATGTGTACATATTTCAGCTCATTTACTGCCTGTGAGGTCTGGCAAACGTTGGCTAAAATACATCTGTACCTCAAATTAAAAAAAAAAAACCTTTTTCAAAAGAAAAGGCAACAATTTACTGACAGGCCTATTTTTTTGGCAACGGTGGACTGTGCTCCAGGTAAAATATATAATTTCAGGCATATAATCGCAAATCTAATATTTCCAGTTAAGTATAAATGTACACTGCACAGGCTTGGCAACTGGAGAATCTACACAAACATAATTCATGTACATGTACAAAGCCCATTCTAATAGTAATGTCCATAAATTTAAGACCCATCTTTGACAAAAGAAACTAGAATAAAGATTTACATGTAGGTGTGTACAATTAGTTTACAGTTTTGTTTAAAATGCATAAAATTTGTACACAGTTACCGACCATCTGTTGGCCAGCTGCATACTTTGAAAAAATACATAACTATTCCTACAGTTTATAAAAAAAATGAACTGCAAATAAACATCCAGTAGTGTTATTGCCATAAATTAGCCTGAAATAGTGACGAGAAAATCCCCCCAAAATGGTAAAAATAATGGTAAATACTTAAACAATATGACACACTTTGCCTAAGTACAGTTCATATGGGCTAATTGATTGGCAAGTGAAAAAGTAACATGGACGTACATGTACATGTGCAATTATTGTAAAGAATATGCATTTAGTATTTGAAAGAATACAAATTAAAATAAGTCAAACATTGTGGTGGAGTAGCACTATACTGATCAAACTTCAACAAAGGAATCCCCTGATATATGCCTGCTACAACACGAAAACTATACACTTTGAGTTTAATATACATGTATTTCAGCACCGAAATGCTTTTTCTGGTGATAGGCTACAATTTCTGGCAAGAAACAAACACATTATCTGATGAATTGATTGAGTTGATAAAAAGGGATACAAGGTCTACACCCCCAACATTCATTGGCCACCAAGTAACCATCCAAGAATTACTGCTTCTCCAAGAACGTCTAAAATTATGAACGTTTCTCTCCCTGTTACATGGCTGAGTTGTCTGAGGAACAAAATCTACGGCGCTGCCAGTGATGAAAAATTACTCCTTCTACCTACATTTCATGTGCCAGTCTTGCCTTTTTGGACCAAGAGGTTGCCATGGGAATAATTACATTCATTTCTTCATGAAAGAGTATGTTTCTTTTTATGAATGTGGTTTCAGTGACTCATATGTAGAAAGTCTACTTCTACTTTCCAACTAAAAGTAGCCTGAGGTCATCCTAATCAGTCCCATTTCAGAGTTGATATGCTCTAATTTCCTAACCGATTTGAGCCACTTCCCATGGAAAAACAGCCAGATGGTTGTTAGATCCTGAGAAATGGTGCAATAAAATCAAATAAATAAATAAATTTGTGGCAGAATTTAGAATGCTTCTTCAATATTTTGAACAATATGTGAAAATCTACATTAAATGCTAGATAGAGGCTGGATAACATATATTCATTAATATTTGAGTAGTAAGAAAATACAACTTTGAAATTGTAAAGATTTCCTGTGAGGCCAAAATTCACAGTACGCCTTTTCAATTACCAGGAAATACTGCCTAACAGAAACTGCAAGACTCCAGGCTGGTGACCTTGCTTGCTGAGCACCCTTTGTTGGTACCCGACAAAGAGGCAGCCACATGAAAACTGGTTCCTCTGTGAAACTCCTCCCCCAGGTACGCTGTGACTCGGCCAGTAGCTGTGTAGGTGGTTCACGTTACTGGCTCTCCAGAGTGGCTTTCTTGAAGTACCTCCGGGTTGAAGTGTTCCCTTTAGTCTGCGTAAGCACCAGCTGGTCGCCCACCACTTCCCTGGTGAATGAGATGTCGCGGCCAAGCACCCTAATGACCAGCTTGGCTTCATCCCACTCTGCCTTCATGGGGTGTTCGCCAGCCTCCCACGGTATGGTACTTAGAAACTGTTCCCCCACCACAAACCTCAACTCCTGGCTCCGATACGTCGTCTTTGTGATGATGACCAAGGTACCACCTTCCTCCTCGGAAATGAGGACAGTGGGTTTAACCGAGCATGCAGCTTTCCTCCAAGCCCAAGACACCCCACAATCTTTAAGGAATGCATCAAAGTTATCCTCAGTACTATCCAGTTTCCAGTTACCAATGAAGTCGACAGCCATTATGAGGAGAAGCGTGAACGGTTAAGGCTAACTGCAACAGACTACATGTACATGTACATGTATATGGAGAGGAGTTAGGGGTTTCGCACTATATACACACGTACACTTCACCGCAGAAACACAGAAATAATCATAATCAACCCCGAGATGCACTGTAGATGTAATAATGACCACACCGTCTCACAATCACTGTTAATTCACCGAACAAACATAATCCTACCATATGTGCAGTTGCTGTAACAGCGGTACTGTTTTCAATGTCACGATTTTTGTTCCAGCTATGCATGGCCTATACCTGACCCAGCTTGTGATAATGCGACTTCCGGCTTTTCGTCATGTTTTTACTGCAGGCAGTGGGCCGTGGCATATTCTTTATGCATGACATGACCGTGCCACGCAAGCAGTCGCTGTGCGTGTACAAGGCGTATACCGATCCGATAGCCGTGCATTATTACTGTCCGGATCCCCGAACTGACGGCTGCCAGATTATGCATGCAAGCAGTGATTTTGCTATATACATACATTTCAGGGGCGGGACAGTGGTGTAACTAGTGGGGGCGGTAGATGTAGGACAGGGGTCGCGTGGGGGAACCCCCCCCCCCCTGCCTTACCTTAGTCGTTTCCTTCGTTTCCAGCGACCAAGCCCCTTAAAAAAGGATCAAAGTGCAGGTATGATTCCGTCCTTGCACACGCGGACCAAGAAGCACATTATAATGGACCATCGGCTGCGGGGAGGGTGCGAGAGACGACAGAGGAACAGTTTGGAACATCTGGGTTAGCCTGTTCAGAAAATTATTACTTGCTCGTGGGATGGAAATGTGCCAATGGGGATGACACGAGGAGGCCTACTCGGAGTAGAGGTTACCGTGCGACCACTTTCCTCCGACCCAAGGTGGCTAAGTTGCGAGCGAGATAAATTTCACGATGGTGAACAGACTATAGAGACGATTTTCATTTCACAGCATTTGAGCATCAAGTAATGGCAGAGAGACCTGAAGGAGCTCAACTCACTGCCTCGTTGTTATGGCTGGAAAACGCTATAAGGGAAAATTACGCATGACCTGTTGAAAAGCATGATAGAATTTTCATTCCGATGCATCTTCTCAGCCTTGTTGAGGCGTACCTAGGGCCCACAAATGGTTGTGTTTTGGGGGAGGGATACCCGGATTTCTATTTAAGAAAATCTAAGCCCCAGTGGAAAAGTTCCTGGCGACGCCCATGACAGGCAGCAGAGGCGATCATTGATGCCTGACCCGGCCTGCCCATTGTCATCATGGAGTTATAATTTTTGTGGGCACCAGTTTGTCCTCATCTGAACTGTTTTTAATACACCCGGTACCCTTCACTGTTGTAATTCGAGGCAGACGTTTTGACACTTTGACAAGGGGGTGGAGGGACCGACCCATTGACCATATGATTTGAGCTCCTGTGGTTACACTGAGGTCAAACAGAGGGGTGAAGGAGCCCCGAAACGCCCAGAGAAATAAAATAAAATAAACCGGTTCTTTGAACAACTGAAACAGTTTTGATCAACGGCAACTGATAATTACTTCTCAGAAACGTCTGAATTTGCAACGTGTTTCAGGTAAAATGATAAAATTAAACGATAATGACACCCGACGATAGCCTTTACCTGCCACATTTTGTCTGGTATTTACTACCCAACGTTGTTATGTTGACCCATGTTATTTTGTCCAGACAGTTCGGCGTGGTCATAAGTGCAATATGAGCCACCTGGACGAAAATGTCTGGAAGCTATGAAAGAAGGGACTAATCAGTAGACGAAAAAGGAGGGAAATGTCGTTATGAAACCTAGGGAAAGAGGTGTCTGAAGTAGCCAATAGACTAAGTGTCGTCTTCCTTGGATGGGGTCGCAGACAGGTGAAGTGTATCAAGTGGGAAATGGCACATCCGCAGTCCGTCTTAGGTGACGGAAAAACAATGTTCTCGCGTTCGATTCTCGACCGAGAAAATGTGACCGATTCTCTTCCGATCTCTGTGAATTAATCCGACCTCCTTCAAGTCGAAGCAGTCTGGCTGAGACTGCGTAATGTGAGGCCAGGTGCTTGCCGTCTCAAGTGCTCTGACGAGACAGTTGAATTTAGAAAAGGAAACGTGTGGGCGGTCGTTTTTGAAACAAACAAGTGTGTTGAATGTCTAGTGACGCATCGGCCAGGGTTGGTCAGGAGGGTTTTCAACACAAATCCCTGTGTTTATAAACCTATGGAGATTTTGATTCAGAATGCTGCAAAACGGGAACATGTTAAAGGTGATTTTTTAAATAACCCGTTCCCATTTAGTTATTGCGTAAGGGACAGCCTCTTTACTCTTCGCCGAAAAAACACATTACTCACTGCTTTGTGTAAAATGCTTTGTCATTTAGTGGATGACATTAAATCAAGTTGTGAATAATGCTGGAACAAAAGTTGACTGCGGTGAGTTCCACTTCTTGAAGACTAAAAGTTCCCTGACTCTAATGCATGCGCCTCGGGCAAGTACAAGAACCATCTTGCCCATGCTCTGCACGTGTCTCTAGCTAGCTCTGACCAGACGTGGAAACTCAGTTACATGTACATGTACATATCATTCGCTGACACACTTTCCAGATTCAATTAAATAAGGTTCATCCGTCAGGAGGTGCGTGGGGGTTAGAGAAGTAGAGGAGAGGACTTTACAGCTACAATCCTGGACAAA